TGTAGGTGTGTGGATTTGTTTCTGGGTTCTCTATTCTATTCTGTTGGTCTATGTAACTGTTTTTATGTGAGTACCATGCTGTTTTGGTGATGAAAGCTCTGTAGTATAATTTGAAGTCAGGTAATGTGATTCCTCCAGGTTTGTTCTTTTTGCTTAGGATAGTTTTGGCTATTCTGGGTCTTCTGTGACTCCAAATAAATTATAGGATTGTTTTTTCTATTTCTGTGTAGAATGTCATTGATGTTTTGATAGGGATTTCATTGAATCTGTAGATTGCTTTGGGTAATACGGACATTTTAACAATTCTTCCAACTCATGATCATGGAATATTTTTCCATTTTTTTGTGTCATCTTCAATTTCTTTCATCAGTGTTTTATAGTTTTCATTATAGAGATATTTTGCTTCTTTGGTTAATTCTTACGTATGTAATTTTATGCATAAATATTGTAAATGGGATTACTTCTTAATTTCTTTTTCACATTGTTCACTGTTGGCATATAGAAATGTTATTGATCTTTGTGTGTTGATTTGTATCCTGCAACTTTACTGAATTTGTTGATCAGTTCTAATAGTTTTCCTTTGGAGTCTTCAGGTTTTTCCAAATACAAGCTCATATCATCTACAAAGAAAGGTAATTTGACTTCTTCCTTTCCAGTTTGGATGCCCTTTATACCTTTCTCTTGTCTGACTGCTTTAGCTAGGACTTCCAGTACTATGTTGAATAATGGTGACAATGGGCATCCTTGTCGACTTCCAGATCTTAAAGGAAAAGCTTGGGGTTTTTTCCTATTTGGTATGATACTAGTTGTGGGACTGTCATATATGGCTTTTATTATGTTGAGGTAAGCTCCTTCTATCCCCTGTTTTTTTAGGGTTTTTATCATGAAGGGATGTCAAATTGTATCAAATACTTTTTCAGCATCAATTGAAATGATATGGTTTCCAGTCTTCATTCTGTTGATATGATGTATCACATTGATTTATTTGCAACCATCCTTGCATCCCAGGGATAAATCCCCTTTGGTCATGATGAATGATCTTTCTACTGTATTGTTGAATTCAGTTTGCTGGTATTTTATTGAGGATTTTTGCATCAATATTCATCAGAGATATTGGCCTATAGTTTTCTTTTTTCAATGTGTCTTTGGTTTTAGAATCAGGGTAATATTGGCCTTGTAGAATGAGTTTGGAAGTATTCTCTCTTCCTCTATTTCAGAATAGTTTGTGTAGTATTGGTGTTAGTTCTTCTTCAAATGTTTAGTAGAATTTAGCAGTTAAGCCATCTTAAGAGTTCTTTATCAGACATATGTTTTGCAAATATTTCTTCCTTGGATGTCATTCTCTTAACAGTGTCTTTCACAGAACGGAGGTTTTAGTTTTTTTAATTTTAATTTTAATTTTTGAGACGGAGTTTCACTCTTTGTTGCCCAGGGTGGAGTGCAGTGGCACGATCTCGGCTCACTGCAACCTCCGCCTCCCAGGTGAGGCTGCTTGAGCAACTCTCCTATCTCAGCCTCCTGAGTAGCTGTGATTATAGGTGCCTGCCACCATGCCCAGTTAATTTTTTATTTTATTTATTTATTTATTTTTTAGATGGAGTCGCCCTCTGTTGCCCAGGCTGGAGTGCAGTGGCACAATCTTGGCTCACTGCAACCTCCACATCCTGGGTTCAAGTGATTCTCCTGCCTCAGCCTCCCCAAGTAGCTGGGACTACAGGCGCACGTCACTATGCCCAGCTAATTTTTTTTTAATTTTTAGTAGAGACAAGGTTTCACCATGTCGGAAAGGCCGGTCTTGAAATCTTGACCTCAGGTGATCCGCCCGCTTCAGCCTCCCAAAGTGCTGGGATTACAGGCATGAGTCACTGCGCCTAGCCAGAGGTTTTTAATTTTAATGAAGTCCAACTTACTAGTTTTTTCTTTCATGGATTGTACTTTTGGTGTTGCTTCTAAAACCTCATTGCCGAACACAAGGTCAACTATATTTTCTCCTATGTTATCTTCCAGAAGTTTTACAGTTTTGCATTTTACATCTAGGTCTGCAACTCACTTTGAGTTAAATTTTGTAGAAGGTATAAGGTCTGCATGTAGATTAAAAATATATATATATATGGCTTTCTGGTTGTTCTAGCACCATTTGTTAAAGACTATTATTGCTCCATTGACTTGCTTTTGCTCCTTTGTCAAAGGTCAGCTGACTATTTATGGGTGGGCTCCCTATCATGTTCCATTGATCTATGTGTCTGTTCTTTCTCAAATACCACACTGGAGATAGAGTCTTGCTCTATCACCCATGGGGGCTGGAGTGCGGTGGAGTGATCTCGGCTCACTACAACCTCCGCCTCGTAGGTCCAAGCAATTCTTGTGCCCCAGCTTCCCAAGAAGCTGGGATTACAGACATGCAAAAACACACCCAGCTAATTTTTGTATTTTTAGTAGAGATGAGGTATCCCCATATTGGCCAAGCTGGTCTTGAACTCCTGGCCTCAAGTAATCCCCCACCTTGGCCTCCCAAAGTGCTGGGACTATGGGTGTGAACCACTGTGCCCTGCCTAGATCCATATCTAAGTACAGGTTGAGCATCCCTAAATCTAAAAGTCAGAAACATCCAAAACCCAAAACTTCAAGCCCCGACATGACATTCAAAGGAAATGTTCATTGGCGCATTTCAGATTTAGGATTTTTGGATTACGATGCTCAATGACTAAATTTATAATTCGAATATTTCAAAATCTAAAAAAATCTAATCCAAAACACATCTGGTCTCAAGGATTTCAGATACGTGATACTTAACCTGTATTACTTTGGGGAGACAGTACTATTGTAAATGGCATTGTGTTTTTAATTATAAATTCCAATTGTTCATTGCTGGTATACAGGAAAACAACTGACTTTTTTTTTTTTTTTTTTTTGAGACAGAGTCTTGCTCTATCACCCAGGCTGGAGTGCAATGGCCAGATCTCGGCTCACTGCAAGCTCCGCCTCCCGGGTTTACACCATTCTCCTGCCTCAGCCTCCCGAGTAGCTGGGACTACAGGCACCCGCCTCCTCGCCAGGCTAGTTTTTTGTATTTTTTAGTAGAGACGGGGTTTCACCGTGTTAGCCAGGATGGTCTCGATCTCCTGACCTCGTGATCCACCCGTCTCGGCCTCCCAAAGTGCTGGGATTACAGGCTTGAGCCACCACGCCCGGCCACAACTGACTTTTGTATTCAACCTTGTATCCCAAAATTCTAGAGTTTTATTTCTTCCTTCCCAATATGTGTACTTTAAATTTACTTTTCTTGTTAGCTAGAACATCAAGTACCACGTTGAAAAGACTGGTTGAGAGGGGACATGCTTGCCTTGTGTCAGACTTTAGGTGGAAAGAATGTAGTTTCTCACAATAGAAACAATCTATTGTTAGCTGTAGAATTTTTGTAGATGCTCTTTATCAAGTTGAGGAAGTTCTCCTTTATTCCCAGTTTGCTGAGTTTTTATTATGAATGGATGTTGAGGAGGGGCACTTCTTATTTGTGTGTGACAGGATCTCACTCTGTCACCCAAACTGGGGTGCAACCTCACCTCTCACGTTGAAGCGATACTCCCAAGGAGCTGGGACTACAGATGCCGCCACATCCAGCTAATTTTTAAAAACACTTTCGTAGAGATGGGGTCTCATTATGTTGCCCTGGCTGGTCTAGAACACTTCGGCCTCCCAAAGTGCTGGGATTACAGCCATGAAACACTGCACCTGGCCAAGGATGTGCACTTTTTAAATGTTGCTTTAAATCAATCTATCCTGGAAATTGCAAGCAACATAAAACATAAAGCAAGGGAGGTATGAAATGGCAACTGTTCACAAGAACTGCCTACTATAATCAATATTCTTGTGCAATGCATATACTGAGCGTGGGAGCCCCCAAAAAATCACTTGCCTTCATGGTCTTTGGCAAATAAATATTTTATTTTTTATTTTTGAGACAGGGTCTTGCTCTATCGCCCAGGATGGATGAGGTGCAGCAGCGAGATCTAGCTCACCGCAACCTCCACCTCCTGGGCTCAAGCCATCCTCTCACTTCAGCCTCGGGAGTAGCTGGGACTACAGGCGCGCCACCAAGCCCGGCTAATTTTTGTATTTTTGGTAGAGACAGAGTCTAACCATGTTGCCCTTGCGCTCGAACTCCTGACCTCAAGTGATCGACCCACTCACTGGACCTCCCCAAGCGCTGAGGTTACAGGCGTGAGCCACCGTGCCCGGCCTCCAAATACTTAGGACTTTAAACTTGGAAACCCTATTCACAACACAAACTCCGAGTGAAGCTCTGTGGGGTTTTCTTACAAGAAGAAATGCAGGAGTTAATCAACAGGTATGTGGGATGTTCCCGCATCAAATCCTAAAGATAAAATGTTAACCCAGTTCCTCTTGCACTTATCTGCTTCTCCCCAACCTTGTCTCGCAGAAGCCACAGCACGGTCTGAAAACACGCCTCGTCTAGATTCAACACCTCATTTAGAAATTCAATTTCTCGTTGCTAGTTGGATAGCGCTTGGCAAGTAATTTGAAAAAATAAAAATAAACCCACGGACGGAGTGGTCTGGGATTTAAACAACATAACGTAGGGTGAAAAAAGCACTCAGGCGCGGACAGCCATGGAGCGTGACTTCCTGTGCACTCTTTCCCGGCCAGCTCCACGCCAAAGCCGCGCGCTAGGCGGAGGCTGTTGGTAGCGGAGGCCGGAGTCGCACGCCTACGAGACTGCGCGGACCCACCCGAAAGGAAAATGGAGGTAGTGGCGTGAGGCTGCGACAGTGAAGGGTATTTTTCTCTTTTTAACGGGCCGCTAGACCTCCCGTCAAAGGAAGCGCCCGACGGGCCTTCGAAGTCCACGCCCAGACCCCACAGCGCAGCCGCCCGACCGCCTCTCTCCACACCGGCCAGGGTCCAGCCTCTCCCACTCTCCCCTCCCCGCCCCGCCCCTCCGCCCAGCCAACCCTAGACCCGGCATGCGCTGCGCCGACCTTTTCCTTCCGAGCCGACCCCCACCTTCGGCGCCTCCCAATGACAAGCGGCGCGGAGCATTGTGGTCCCGCGCGCGAGAGCGAGGCCGAGGACAGAAAAAGAAAGCAAAAGACCAGGGCGAGCCGGTAGAGCAGACCCCGCGCATGCGCACGGGCGGGGGCGGTGGTGAAAAAGGGCGGTGCGTGGTCTACGGCGAGCGGAGTGGGGCGGGGTCGCGCGCCTTGGCGGGGAGTCCGCGAGCCGGGAGGGGCGGGGGGTGAATGAGGGAGCGGGCGGAGGAGGAAGTGTCATGGCGTCGGGCCGTGGAGCTTCTTCTCGCTGGTTCTTTACTCGGGAACAGCTGGAGAACACGCCGAGCCGCCGCTGCGGAGTGGAGGCGGATAAAGAACTCTCGTGCCGCCAGCAGGCGGCCAACCTCATCCAGGAGATGGGACAGCGTCTCAATGTGTATCCTTTCCTATCCTGCGCCGCTCACGCCCTGTTTCCCTTGCCCGGTCGCCGGGCCTGGTGCTCCGCGAACATGGCGCCGCCGGCCTCGGCCTTCGCTGGACCTCGGCCCCGCGGTCAGGGAAGTAAGGCTCCAGCTCGGGCAGTCGCGAGGGGCTAGCAGAGGAGGGGAGGAGGAGATAGGACCCCAGGAATGCGGGCCAGGAGTCTGCGTTGTGTAATCTGTTTGGGGCAGCGCGTGGTGGTGGCCGCGGGGGATGGGAGTGTGGCTCAGGCGAAAGAGAAATTTTAGGGATTATTGCAGAAAAGGGGCAGCTCCTTCGACTTGTCCCTGTCCCCTAAGGGTTTGAGAGGTAGAAGGGTTAGCGATGCTGAAAGGCCTAAGTGTTTTCCGCAGCCTTTCCCCGCTCTCCTCGCCGGCTTGATGGCGGCTCTCTTCTACCTTGGGAGCGCACTGGAGGTCTTTTATGTTCTTGGCGTGGTTTTGTATGGGTGTGTGCGCGCGCGTTTCAACTGTTTCATTTTGAGTTTAGTCAGTCGTAGCCATTGATAAATAGTTCCAGGGCCCTCAGCGCTGTTAGAGTGAAAAGATCAGCAGTTCTTCCTCCCATTTATTTGGCGTAGAGTCTATTCTCTTCCTGCCGCCCCACCCCCCGCGGGCGTTTATTTCTTTATTTCTAGTTTGGCGTTTGGATTTGAATGGGAGGTATTGGAAAAGAACCTGGGAATTTTCCATCAAAATTGTTTTGGGAATGAGATCTTGCTTTTGTCAGATATTTCCTAAATACTATGTTCCAGCTCTCAGCTTACAATAAACACTGCGATTGTTTATATGCACAGGTTTTATATGCACCATTCTTTCACCAAATTCAACAAAAATGTAAGTACTAGTTTGTTGCCTGTTTTTACTATGCGCAAATTTGAGGGTAAATCGATACGCAGAAAAAAAGTTGGTCATTGCGTTGTTGGATTTAGTGTTCTGAATTAACGGTAAACGTGTATCATGTGATAAATATTTTGCTTCAAATGCGGGGTTTTTGTGTTTTTAAAATTTGTGATGAATTAAACTGCAAGGCACTGTTAAGCTCTGCCAGGCCTTTTAAGCTAAAAAAAAAAATTTACTTCTTTAGAGTGTTATTACATAAGTTTTCTTCATTTAAATTTTATACCTAACATTTGAATAATTTTGGTAGTAATGTACAGTGGAATTGGACAAGTCTGGTCGTTCTGTGATACATCTTGATTATGTTGTACTCATTGTTTAAAATACTGTGAATTGAAAGTAAATTAATTATGACATTATTTTGAAAGCGCTATTTAGCAGAAATAATTCATTTCTTCATTTGCTAACCCAGTAATTTCTTAAGATGTCAAACTTTTCTGTTTATCACGTTAGCATCAATTGTCTCCTAAAATTTTGGGTGATTCAAACGTCAATTCTTGCTTCAGATATAGTACGTCAGGAGTATGTTTATGTATTAATAGTAAAATTTACACTTGAATATTAAGGTACATAACCTGTAAACCTTGACAAATAGAGTAATAGAATTTTGTTGAAATGTTAATTTCATTTATGAAAGATGAGTTTGGTGTATGTTAAGTAACATGCATACTGTGTTGTGTGTGAATAAAGAAAATTGCATATTTAGAAATGTTTAACCCTGCTTTAATTCTATTTTTGTTACTTTTTATCATAGTTATTTTTAGAGTATTATTCTGAAAGGTATGTGTAGAAAAATGGACCAAAGAAGACTTTCTGCTATATGTGGATAGTCATAAGGACTTATTTGCTAAGAGAACAGTCCCAGGAAAGATCCTCAGAATATTATTTTTGAAATGGAAGAAAGGCTTCATGGATTAGATTGAGTCCTACCTTAATCTCTTCGGATCCTATTTCGTTTATCAGTTTGGCATATAGGTTTATCTTGGACCATATATATTTTAATATACATTTTGGTCTTTTGAAGACTTCTTGCTTCTATTTCTTTTTTTAAATCTGCGTAGTTCTTGCTCTGTTGCTTCTAGTTTTCCTAGTTATTTCTAGTGCATAACTTAGGTCAGTGATAATGTTATGGAAGAGAAAGGAAGCCATTGGTAATTACATTTAGATTAAGGGAATTTAATTTTTATATAAATTGCCTCCAAAGGCAGTAGTGAACTAATGAGTGTTAATATAAATGTGGTTTTCCTTATGTAATCCTGGATAATAATGGTCGAAATTACAAATCAAAGTAGTTCTGACTATTCTTTATATGGCTACAGATGTCTCATTTGCTGTCTCATTTCTACTTCCAATAAGTGATCTAGCCACAAGTCTTCACTTATTTATTTATTTATTTATTTATTTATTTTTGAGACGGAGTCTCACTCTGTCACACATGCTGGAGTACAGTGGTGCTGCCGCAGCTTACCACAACCTCTGCCTCCCTGGTTCAAGCTATTCTCCTGCCTCAGCCTCCCGAGTAGCTGGGACTACAGGTGCATGCCACCATGCCCGGCTAATTTTTGTATTTTTAGTAGAGGGGGGTTTCACCATGTTGGCCAGGCTGGTCTTGAGCTCCTGACCTCAGGTGATCCTCCCGCCTCGGCGTCCCAAAGTGCTGGGATTACAGGCATGAACCACCTTGCCCGGCCATCTTCACTTCTTTGTTTTGAGCCCTCCTTATAATTTGTCTTTATGGCCTGGTTGGCGTGCTTTACAACAAATACCCTGCTTAAAGCCAGAATTCACAACTTTAGATTGTCATTTGCATTCTAGCTTTCACTATTTTACTTAAATGTTTTCCTTCAATAGAAAGGCCAGGGTATTAATTTTTTGTTACTTTCTTTAATGTCTTATTGTGGATGAAGGTAAACCAGGATTTTTACATAGAGTCATTAATAATTGAAATCTGTTTATTTCTGTTTTGAGAAATAGTGTTATACTTTTCATATCTGTTGTCTTTTTTACCGTTGCTATTATAATATCGAAAGTGGTTTTTATATTCGTGTCAGTGCACTTGCATCAGTCACACAGCCTCACTTCTATCTTCCCCCCCCCGTTCTTTTAGGGCAAAGGGGGTGGTCTGAAATTGAATGTGAGTCACTTTTAAATTTGTATTATTCCCCATCAGTGGGAAATTTTTGTCTATGTACTGAAATGTCATGGTAAACTTAAAAAAGCATGAATCTTCACCAAACTGAACACCATTCAGCAAATTAAACCCTATGAAATAATAAGCTTAAATAAGTTAAGACGCTAGTGACAAACTCTATCTAGTCTTATAGTTAATATTAATAACATCCATTAACTGTATGAAAATATTTTTAAATGTTCACGTGACTTAATTGTATTTTCCAACATTGTAATATTAAAAGTTTTAAAACCCCCAAAAGTAATGTGCTGTTGTATTACTATTTAAGAATAAAATCAGTATCAGCATGTTTTGGTGACCCAGAAATGGTCTCTTATCATTGAGTTCTTTTGTCTTTTACTCAGAGTTGAATAGCTGTCAGCAGTAAATGACTTTTATATGTAGCCTAATTAGATAAATCTACACTTTGTTCACTAGATGCAATGCGGTTCATGTAATTGGAATTAATAAAGAACGGCCTTGGTGGATCAAGCTTAAAAATAAATTTAGTAAAGTGTAAAAGCCCTGGAGCCAAAAGTGCTGCCAAGGTGTATACTGAAGGAAAGCACCCACCCACCAGGTCACACTTAAGTAGATATTGACGCAGCTTCTCCACCCCCCAGGTCACACTTAAGTAGATATTGACGCAGCTTCTCCACCCCCCAGGTCACACTTAAGTAGATATTGACGCAGCTTCTCTTACAAACTCCTGATTTGGTCTTTTGTGATGCATTTTTTTCTTATACCAGTTCCAAGTCCCTTAAGATTAGATTGTAAAGAGCACACCCTTTTCTAAGTATTTTTGTTGGTCATGGTCTGTTCTCATAGCACATCTCCAATTTACTTGATCTTTTCCATCTTCTCTTTACTTAGTTCCATTGCCTCTTTCTTGAGCTCTAGCAATCAGAACTCCATGTATAATATGCAAGATTTAAAGGTATTATAGGGCCTGGCATGGTGGCTAATGCCTTTAATCCCTGTACTTTGGGATGCTGAAGCGGGCGGATCTCTTGAGGTCAGGAGTTCCAGACCAGCCTTGGCCAACATAATGAAACCCCATCTCTACTAAAAATATAAAAATGAGCTGGGTGTGGTGGCACATGCCTGTAATCCCAGCTACTGGGGAGGCTGAGGCAGGAGAATCGCTTGAACCTGAGAGGTGGAGGTTGCAGTGAGCCGATATCACACCACCACACTCCAACCTGGGCAACGGAGCGAGTGTGCATTTCCATTCATTGTTATACTCTGGTCATGTTTTACAGGCGTCAAATCAGCATGTGTTTCATTGTGAAGTCTAAGCAGATGTTTATTATAGCTCACTTCCTCTTCTGCCTTTTAGTTTAATAAAGCAATAATTAATCCAAGAATAATCTTATGCCCAAGATCCATTAGCATTACTCAGAAATACTGCAGTGCTGTCCAGTAGAACTTTCTGCATAGTGTAAGTTTTGTCTATTTGTACTCTTCAGTGTAGTAGGTACTATCTTGTAAATTTGAGACGATTAGCCTAGATAATTTTTAAATTCCTTTTAAACTATAAATTACCTGGTTGAAGTTTTATTAAGATCTCACTATGACAGGCACTTTATATTTGTCTTGTTTTCTCAGGTATTCTCCTAAGGAAGCAGACGCAGTTACTAAGTGACTTGTCCAAAATTAAAACTATTATGTGGCTGGGATTTGAACCCAAGTCCTTTGCTTAATCCCAAACTGTAGTTCTCACTTTTTCCTATTCTAGTGTATTTCAGAAGTAGAGCACAATAGCAATTTATGCCAGTGATTTGTAAGATTTATAAAGTAAACAATGAAAAAAACCTCAGATTTTGATTTGCCCGCCTCATTGTACTAAATCTAATGAGGTCCTGTTTATAAGTCCCAAATTCCTCTTTTTCAGCTACACATCAGTGTTAGCATTTATGCATTGTGTATCACTGTTTTTCCTTAGGGTGCTTTCTGTTTGCTTTCATGTGACTGTTCTCTGTCAGGTTTTAAGACTCAGCTGAAGTTGCTACTCTTTCGTAAAGCATTCCCCAGATAACTCTCTTTTCCATTTGTGAATTTATCTCTCTGATCTTACCTTTGAATCTTATTCACATCCAGTTGTATTCCATCTGTTTGGGAGTTTATAGTGTGACTGTACATATATGAGATGAGTTTTTTCTTTTTAATTATAAAATATATAAAACCAACAAACAAATGTATAGCTTAGGGGATTATTATAAAACAACCTTGTAATCACCAACTAAGTCAAGAAATAGAACTTTGCCAACTACCCCAGAATGCCTCCATGTGCTCAACTCAGTGTCAACCCCTCCCGCCAAAAGTAACTAGTATTCGTTTTTTTGAGATGGGATTCTGGTGTTGTCACCCAGGCTGGAGTGCAGTGGTGCAGTCTCGGCTCACTGCAACCTCTGCCTCCCGAGTTCAAGTGAATCTCCTGCCTCAGCCTCCTGAGTAGCTGGGATTACAGGTGTGCGCCACCATGCCCAGCCAATTTTTGTATTTTTAGTAGAGACGGTTTTCACCATATTGGTCAGGCTGGTCTCAAACTCCTGACCTTGTGATCCCATCACCCGGCCCCAGTATTCTTACTCTAACAGTAGTTACTTTCTTTATAGTTTTAGCACCCAACTCTCCATTCCCAAATACCATAGACCTTGCTCATTATTAAAAATTTGGTAAATCTTTGAAGTCTCTCAGTATGCATGTTTCCCCTCCATCCTTCTATGTCACTAAGTTTTATCTGTTGAAGGACCCTAGGGTGTGT